ATAACAAAGAACCAGAACGAAGACAAACGGGAACGTAATTTTGTAATTAGAAATTAATTAGCATTGGATATCAAATTTATTTTGCTAATACTAACAAATGTTATCTATATGTATGTAATTGTAATGTTTTTTTTTTTGAAAATTAAAATATTTGTTACTGATATTTTATATTTTCATGTTAACAAAACCAGTATAATTTCTTATATTTAAAAATAATTATAAATTTACAGGTATAATGTTAAATGTGTTACTGAATGCAGACGTATTATCATATTTAACTTAATAATGGTTATTTGTAAAGTATGCAAAGAAGAAGTTCAAGTAGATTCACTGAATTAATAGAAATAACTGTAGACATCTTCCAATTAAATTATTGAAATGCAGTGAATCCAAGGATGCACTTTTACAATACAATTAAACAGAAGATGATTCATACTTCCTATAAAACGCAATTAAGCTAAAAAAAAAATAGACATCAAGAAATAAAAATAAAACGATTTGTGTAAATCGCAGCATTAAACACAGAAGTTTTTGGAAATACCGGAAACACGAAGACGACGACGCTGCTTGGAATTCCATCGCAACCTCTGATTTATCTGTTTTCACGAAAACTCAATTAATATTCTCTATGAATTTCTCTATTACGTGCCTGCTTATGTACATTTTTCGTTTGTTGTTAATGCAACTATTTCGGTTCTAGTCTGAATGCAATGAAGGTCTATTGCATGCATATTCATAGATCGTAAGTCGATCGACTCTTCTGGGAAAATCTAGGTGAAAGAAGTGCAATCGATTCTCGAATTAGTGGAGGCGAATACACTTCGGGGTTTACTCACCTCTGCGTATGCATTTGCATAACGATTTGATTGAGCAATGCAATAATATATCGATACGCACAGCCGTGCTAACAGCTTCGTGTTTAAGTAACCGAGGCGAAAACCACAGAGATAAACGAAGTGCGTATGTAATTTCCATGGTGATAAAACAAACGAGCAGAAGGGAAAACAAACAGTTGATAATGTTTGTGGTCCAGGTTTCACGGAAAACCTGTGGGTGGTTTGATTTCGTCTCTCTTCTGCTATACACCACTATTCAAGTCTCTTCATTCCTCTCCTCTCTCAACAAACAGATCGAATGTAATTAATGCGACTTACCTAAGAAAGCAAGACAACTTATAATCCTTTCCATTGTTAATCTCATTTCTAAATCCTCGAATTTTGCGTTTCCCAGAAGGAAAAGAATACTTAAGTCACTTCAGCCTCAGGGGCCTTCTGCACATTTAGCTCAGCAACCGTGCCAACTAAACAAGAGGTACAACTATCAAGCACATATCTGGTTTAGGTCCACCTGTACACATGCACCACGCAAATAGCCGACAACAACTGAAAGAAATATCAACCCACCAAACGGTCGAACCTCAGCGTGACAGGTGACTCATGGTGAAACCACCTGAGGCAGGTGGTTTCAACTTCAGCTTTTACTGTCTGGTCAAGAGATGGCGTTCATAGGTTGCAGTATTTCCAAAATATAAATATCAATAAAGCTACATAATCACATTATAACTATTGCATAACATAAATTTCATAGATTACAACTACAAACATCTTAATTTAAACATTTACCAAAAACGATTGGCACTTTGCACTAGTCTTAACATGTTAATCTTTAATTTACTTACAATTAAGATAAACTAAATATTAGATATTCATTAATAAAATGGAATATTACTGAACAAATAGAAAAGATCTATAACAAAAGTAACAATTAAAGTAACAATTAGTTATTGAAGAATCTCACTAATAGATGTCACTACAGTGGTGATCTTTAAATTAACTTACTTTTAGTTTCAAAGCGTTTAATAATAATTAACTGAGACTTAAGTATAATTTGATTTTTATTTTAACTTACAAACCAAATGTTGTAAATAAAAATGTTTTAAAAAAATAGAAAAGAAAATAAAAACACATAACATAACCTATTTCAAGGCAGTGTCAAATGATTCGTTCTAGAACTATTTTGATTACACTTCTACACCATGGCAATGTTTGGTTTAATCGTATCTGGAAGATTGGTAATTAATAATCATCAATTAGAACTGAAGCATTATGTATTAAACAATCAATTTCAGGTACAAACTGAGTTCCAGCAGATCAGTGAGACCCAATTCCTAACAACCATACTTGATGTCGACAATATAAACCACATAGTTCTATTCCTAACTGGAGCTGTGCCCTTCCCCGAAGGTTTGGGGGGCCAAGGTTAGATCATGCAACTAAACTCTTGAACATTTTAACCTCTGCATTCAGTGTATTTCAGCTGGCCGGACCCAACAGCCCCACCAAACTGGCAGCCACTCGGCTTTGTCTCCAATCAAAAACCTTCGGCTATTTTTAAGATATCAACATTGAAGAAGCTCCATGAGATGGAGGGTTTTACGAATGTATCAACTTTTGGGCAACAGGCAATATGCCACAATGCCCAGATCGGCATTTCCATTGGTTTGTCCCTTTACAATTATATTCATGTATTATCTTATTAATTAATTCCATGCAATTTCAGAGCAATTAAATAATATGCAAGACACGCAACAGACGACGAACAACAATTACGTAACGTTTGCACAGAAGATGCTGCAGAACTTTATGAATTACACATTGAGCTACAGCGTGAGCCAATCGCAGATGATGGCCAATCCTTCTGCCACCTATGTGCCGTTATCCACCGTGCAGAATTGGTACACCAACTTCGAGCGCAGGCTAACCCAGAATCCGAACTTCTGGAAGACATAATGCTGCCCTTAATTATTTATTACTTACTCTAATCTAATTTTTAAGGCAAACTGAATGTAATAATGTAAATATTATTTACATTAACTTAACTATAACATTTTTTTATAATAAGCATTTTAATAATAAATTATTATTATTTATTGTTAAATAATATTATTGTGGAAGACGAGTTTTTAGCATTAGTTTCTTTTTTTTTTGGGTTGCGGAAAAATGTTACAGCTACCTTTTGTAAGCCACATTTTTTTACAAAGAAATAAAAATATAATTTCTAAAATAAATCCCACTTATTTATTACTATAGCAACGTACATAACGTATAGAATTCTATTAAAAAATACATTTTCCTAGACTACTATTAATGTTTGTAATTTTTTAACAACTTGTTGATGATTGAGTTGCATATATTTAACTTGTCAATAATTATTGAATACTTCAAATATATTATAATTAGTTTAGTTATCTCCATTAGATAAGAGTAAATTAATTGAAAAAAAATATTTTGTTTGTTGATATTATTTAATTAAATGCATTAAACATTAAATTATGGTTTAAAATATTTCTAATACTAATTAACAGTTGCCTATAAATTTAATAAGACTACATAATAATTTAACGAAAACCTGTCAGAATTTTGAATTTTTATTACTGGATAAGTGTTGCCAATTTTTGGAAATTAAGAAGTACCCATTAAATAATAAATAGATATATTGGAATTCTAATTGGAAATAAACATTTCAAATAAAAATTATTAAAAGCTTCTGCTAAATTAGTTTACTGAAAGTAATAATTCTTATTGTAAATTACATTTTCCATCGTGGTTCTAGTAGGTTGGTAATATACCAGAAGCGTCGGTTGGGGTTCATTGCAGAGCACAGAGCAAACACAAAACTAGGCCTGAGAAGTAAGTGGTTCTGTATTCCGTTCGCAGCCAGAAAGTTTCTTGAACTTGGATCACGTAACGCCGCATTTACTTGCCATCATTAGAATTTCTTCCGTGGGCCAGAGCGGTGCGCGGCTATGATTTGTGAACAGGAAACAGGGAACCTAGGGAAGGCATCTCCAGCCAAGGGGGCTGATAAGCTGATCAGCGCAATAGATAATCGATCCTGCACGAAACCGACGACCAGAGTGAGTGTGTTGCACAATTTTTCTAGTTAATTAGGTTGTTGGGTTTTTAGTTTGTGTTTTAGGATCATGGTGTATTTGAATACTTCTTCAATTGTTTAATTGATCTTGTGATTATGTCATCGATCTCACTGTCTCGTTCTATTATGATTATTTTTCGTACTATCTATTCATGTATTTTTTTTAATTCATAGTAGGTCTTGGTGTCAATTGTGTTGCATAATTGTAATTGTAGAAAGTGGTTGGAGGTAATTTAATTGAGATCCTGCCAATTTACGCTCATTTTAATATTTATGTAATTAAGCTATGTATGTAATTATGGGTGTTTCTGTTTTGAATAATCCAGCAGATCTACGAATGTTACTCAATTCATGGAAAATCGAAGAAATTACTGTGTGCGAAAAGGGTGGAGTTTTAATTGGGGTGACAAATATTTCAAATGTGCGTAAGAGGGAATCCAATAGGATCCAGTAAGAAGACTATAACATAAGAATTGCCTATTTTAAGTAGAATCAAATTACTTTTCGATCGGCATTGATTACTTATCTAATAAGTAAATTAATACTTTTAAATAATTAAGTTATGACTAATAACTTGTATATATAGATTCGTGACTGACTTATCGAAAAAAGTCGATATTGCTCGTTGTTTCTCATTTCATGTATTTTCGCGTTGAAAATTTTATGAACGTCCTATATTTGTAAGGGAATAGGGTTGCTAAAGTTTTATAGACTTTCACCTTTTTTTTACGACTTTCTGCATGGTATATTTATGTTTGCTCTAAATTTGTTTGCGTATATCCATATCAATTTTTTTAATTACTATTTTGTTAATTAATACAAAAGAAAAACGATCAAAATATCGTAACTATTCCTAATTAACAAATTATATTTGCTTATGTAAAGAGAAGTAAGTCATTATTTTATATGAAATCCTCAGGTGTTTTTAAGGGTGCGGCGGCCTCCTGTAGCATTGCGGTGCTGACCCTTTTTTTTCCAAGTTGGCCAACTCCCATAAATCCTGTTACTTACAAGTCCGCTAACTTCTTATAGTATTAACGATGATTATTATTTCATCCCCTTAGTGTTATTGTTATCTTGATTTCAAAGCTTGCAATACGAAAAAACTAAGGGTTGGCATTTCTTTGAAACATATCCAAAGAAACACCCTACTAAAATCAACTAGTTCACATAATAGAACAGTTCCATATTATTGTATGTTAACCGAAATATTTCAAATTTTTATATCAATTATTTGAAATTTATTCATAGCAACCGAATTGTTGAAAAATTGCATAAATTTGAATAAATAAATTAATTGTAAGCAACAATACTTATGTAATTAGTATAGTTTGTGTATTGTTTCGTAACGAGAAACAATAAATATTATTTTTAGATTTCCATGTATAAACAAGGATAAATAATTTACCTCATAATTAATGACAAATGCAATAATTTGATGTAGTTTTGGTGTAGTTAATTTTTTAAAAATTCATTCTTATTATTTCCACTTGAATATTCATGCGTTGCTAACGGAAAGTTTTAAGACTTTCTGATTGAAAGATTACACTTTTATTTATTTACGTGTTATTCATTAGAAAATTACTTTTTCTTTATAGATATTATTGAAGAAATGCTATTACATATTTATTGCTTTATTTATTAAAAACAAATTAATTAATTAATGCGATCGCAATGTTCTGAGTCAAGATGATAGAATTATAAAGAAAGCAACAGTCATCCTCCTATTTAGTTATCATGAGACATTCACGTATAAATAGATGTGTACATTTATTTTCACGGTTGAAAAATGTGTAATTAGAAACCAATCAATAAAAAAATGGCAAATCGATTTGCTTTCGCAGCCAAGAACACTTTCCACGATCCTTTCACCTCTTTCTCGCTCTTTCCACACCTCGGTGCCAATACTGAATAGAGGCTTTTCAGCAGAATGCAAGAAGAATAAGACATCGGCAGATGCTGTGGGAAAGTTCCTGAGCTATTTCTAATTGTTGTTTACTCTTCTTCAGATGCGGCACGGTTGTTAAACCCATGCCGAACAGGAAATTCGTGCGGCGCGCGTAATTTTCGGCTCTCCGAAGCAAACGAAAGCACTTTTTTTTTTGTATCCATCAAGGTGTAACGTCTTCTGCGGAGAGCATTACACATCGGTGCGTTTAATTATCGTTTCGTAAGTCGCAGTAACAATTAGTTCGAGGTTCTTTGTTGTTGGTGTTACGGATTTGCTAATTCTATTTGGGTGTATGTCTTCTATTTATTTACATTTTGAAAGCGGATTCGGAGAAAGGGTGCTCTATGTGGCAATCGCAGAGAGTGGTGGGCAGTTCCTAAGTTATTTATATAAATATATATATGTATTTGTTTTTCGTTTTCTTTTCTACAACTGCGAGAAAGAGCGGCAGCGCACTTGCAGCTCACTCTTTTTGTTTTACTTAGTGGCAAGCACTTGGTGGATACTATACGCTCTGCCCATGTTGCTCTGCGTCGTAATTGCACACAGTTGGCTTTAGCTCGATACATTTTCTTCCCCACTTTGCATACACACAGTGTAATAGTTTCATTATAATTATTATCTGTTCCTCGCCACATTTTCTACTTTAGTTCTGTAATTGCACTAGTTTAGTACACACCACTTTTATTTTCATCCCCTGTGTTGTTATTTTTTTTATTTTACTTTTATTATTATTTGTTTTTTTTTGGTGTTTTTGCAGTTGTGAACATTTTTAAATATTGCATGCAATTTTCGGAGCATTCTTTTTGGATTATTATTTTCGCCGAAGCAGCATGACAAATTCTCAGGTAAGCTTTATTAGTTTTTAATTTTTTTAATTTTCTTCTGCCTGTTCTCTTTTGTGTTGTATCGTTTTTCGTGTACAATGTAAATATATTCGAAAGTGATCGCCGTACCAGTACGTCCAATGTTTCTCTTCATTTGTATTTATGTATTACATACTTTGTTTACTTTTAAAACAACATACACATATTATAAACAATTTACTTAAAACTAATTATTATTAATTAGTAATTTCATAATGTATATAATCAATGTTTTTAAATAATTATTTTAAGTTATGTTATTTAACGATTTGTGCCTTTTATCTAAATGCAATATCTAAAAATTAACATAGATAATCAAAGAATTACTAATTAATAGATCATTCATCCATAATAAGTGTAGATGTTGAAGAAGTAAGTTTAATTATTTGCTACTCATATTTATGCTCGACATCTCTTGCGTGAAATTCGACTTAAGACCAGAGTTAATGAACGGAACTTTGTCGTAAATTGATGACTACTTGGACGAGCGTAGTTTGCATGAGAGTAAACTGGAGAACATTTCAATCTAATCTCACTGATTATATGTTAATGTTTTCCTGTTTGCTTTGTCCAATTTTATAAATTCTTTGAACTGCAAAATGTTAAACTATTTCTAAAGGTTTCGCACTTTAAAGGTGACTGGGTTTTAGATAGCCAAGAATAGATTCAAAAGTGTGTAATTAACTGCAAATCAATAGATAAATAAAACAACAGCTAATTGTTTTGCCTCATTATCGTTGAATATGCTAGTATCGTAAAAACTGTTTGTACGAAACATTGTAAAAGTAGACCTTGACATGACTGAAACAATTGCACGCACACCCCCAATTCTATTCATTTTTTTTTCATTTGCAATTGTTTCATGTTATCTTGGCTTTGTAAGTAGGTCTGCGATCGTGTATTAAACGGTTGGGAGGGACGGACGGGAAATTGCGTCAGAAGGAAAAATTGATTAACCCATAAAACCCCAGATGTCGTTTTATTTCCTTTGGGTGGCCGACGTCGCTCGATGTTACCGCGAAAACTAAAATTAAATTTTACCGTTCCACTAACATTGTTATATCATTATCTTATCGTGGAATGTTTTAGTTTAGTTGCTGCAGTTTGCGGAACGGATTTGGTTTTTTTTGCAAATCGGAAATTGATCATACCAGACACGAGTTGGAAAGCATAAAATAAAGGCCTTCGACAGTCTAGATTTCTTAATCGGAAACGAATCCATTCCATTTGCACAAACGCTCCTTTTTCTTTTTACGCGCGATTCGATTAACAATCGTAGTATATTTTTTTATTCTCATCATATAAATCCTTTATAGTAGTAATTGCGTGCAATTTACATAGCCGAGCGTAAACAGATGATAATTCTATCTCTGGAATGTGCAAAGTACGGTACCAAACATCTTGTACATCGTCAACTGTCTTGCATAATTGCGATTTATTTCTAATTTGTTTTTCGCTTAATTGATGATTTCCGACTGAAAACGGTTTATCGGATTCCAATTAAAAGCCTCCTAATTGGCGAAGAGAAATACATTAACAATTTTCCACCTAGTTTGCATAATTTATTAATATTGATTTCGGTATCGGTAAATAAATGGAGTTGCGCTCGTTTTTCTTCGCTCCGGTGGGAAATGTTTCAATAAGTTCGTTACGATATCTTCTAATTGAATCTAAATGCAAATTAGATCCATTGTTCCAGCTGATTACGCCATTAAGTTAATTGCGATATAGGTCTGCTTGCATAATGGTTTTGCCACCGGACTGAGTGAAATATGAATTCGCAACGTTCCCACGATAATGTTATGTTGTTCGGAGCTCATCTCGACATCTGATGTGTTGTTACTGCTCTACAAAACGTGCATAGCAGATACCGTTTTATTTTTTTATTATATACGTTACGCATTTTCTTTATTCAACGTGTTTTCCCTCGAGTACCTGAAACATAAACAATTGGAATCTAAAGATTGTCCTGCCCCTAAAAAAAAAATGCAAGATAAGATACGGGGGACAGGTAGGTAAACAGACATGAATGGAACGTACATATAGGTGGACTCTCGCTGGTATGAAGTCGACTGCCAGTTTTAGCTCGACCCTCGTTCGAAGCGCACAGCACGTTTGTTCATGTTCCATTCAAATCGGGCGACGGTGCCGACTTTAATTATTCAAAGGTCAATCTAGAAAGCCTTGTTAACATTGTGCGCGAGTTCCTCTGTATCCACCGCGCCGAAGAAGGGGTTGAACTCCCAAAGGGGTCGTACATCCGGATTCCTGTTAACATGCCCGAAGAAACCAACGGCACGAAGAAGGTAAAGAGGCATCTTCCGAGTACTGCGGCTTTAACAATGTTATTATGATGTCATCGTCGCGATTAATTCACCACACACAAGTCTCTTATGTGAACGTACTTTGTTTTTGCTTCATTAATTTGTTGCTTTTGTCGCCTCGTTTCGCGCAAGTCATCTCCAAACATCACATGAATTCGGACACATTAAGAGTACTTACTTAATTACTTTATGGTTGCTATGCCGACAGTCAACTTAACTAACCCATGTGTGTACAATATAATACGTAATAATACATGTCCTATACCTATTTTTGACGTCAATGTAGAATCGTAAAAGCTGTTTTTTTTTAGCAATTATATGTTTCGTGCACATTAACAGGTTTTGTCTACTAATGTAATTTTAAATATTTACGTTAATTATTTAACGAAAGTATAAACCTTAACATTCTCGCAAAGTGTTATATCTGAAATAATTAATTTAATATAGACGCATACTAATTTAATAAAAAAAAGAAACATTAATATTTTATTATGATAAACAGCGATCACTTTCATATGAGAAATGCGAATTGGGGTTAATTGAAGACCCGTCGCATCCACCGTTTGTTCCTTCAATCTAGATCAGAGGTTCCCAAACTTTTTTGTGTCGTTGACCCCTTGCCATGTTTTTCGGTTTTGGGTAGACCCCCTACTTACCAGATATAGATTTTTTGTAAATTTATTATTTATATTGGGATATCTTTATAATTATTAAGATCTTTATTCTGAGACTGCACATATGCTTGTAACAAGATGATACTGGTATATCATTATGTGCAGGT